ACCACTAGACCATTGGGATAAAAGGGCTTGTTAAGTAGCGGGTCAGTGCGCCCATAACCCCCCAGGCCAACGTGCCTGTAACCCTTCCCTAGGATCAATCGGGGATCACCAGTGGACCTCTGACAAAAAGCTGCTTCCAGAACTTCGAAGTGAAACGAGGGTCGCGGTCTGAGATGATGGAATCTGGAACCCCGTGCAGTCGGACTACGTTATCTACGAACAGCGTCGCGGCTTCCTCTGCTGTGACCTTGCCGTGCGTGGGGATGAAATGCGCTGCTCGAGAAAACTTATCCACTACTACGAAGATGGCGTCGTGACCCCTAATTGTGCGCGGTAAAGCCATTATGAAGTCCATGGTAACTACCTGCCAAGGGCGGTCGGGCGGTGGAATCGGCTGCAAGAGTCCTGCTTTGCGCTGGCGAGAGGACTTCGTACGCTGACACGTGTCGCACGAGCGAATGTAATCCTCTACGTCTGCTGCAAGCCCGGGCCAGTAGTACGTGCGACTAAGCGTCTTAGCCGTCTTATCTGCTCCGAAGTGCCCTGCACTAACTACGTCGTGCGCCTCTGAGAGAAGGAGCTGTCGAAGAGGGCGGTAGGCTGGAACCCAAATCCGTGTGGTACCCTTCCGTATGTAGACACTACCCTGCACCTCTGCTCCTGCGGGCGGCTGCGGTGTGAAGTCGGGATCTACTGTGTAACCGTGCTCGAAGAGTGCTGTGAGAAGTGGGTGGCCAGCAGTGACTGTGAGACTGGCGAGCTGACAACTAGGGCGAGTGAGCGGATCTGCTGGGTTGCGCACGCCTGGCTTGTACTCTATTCTGTAGTGAAAGCTCCCTTCCATGAACTCCATCCACCTAGCCTGGCGACGACTCAGCTGCGGCTGCGACTTGAGGAAACGAAGCGAACAGTGGTCCGTGCGTATAACACTATCTGCCCCCTCTAGGTAGCACCTCCACACCTTATACGCATGGATGATCGCGAGCGCCTCCTTGTCGTGTATGGGATAGTTCAACTCCGCTCCCCTAAGCTTACGCGACTCGTACGCGATCGGCTGCAACCTGCGTCCCTGGTCCTGAAGAAGCACTGCTCCTATGGCCTGATCGGAAGCGTCGGTCACTACAACGTATGGGCGAGTGGGATCAGGGTACGACAGTGTCGGTGAAGACGTGAGCGACTGCTTCATCTGCTCGAACGCCTGCCGCTGCGCTGGACCCCAAACGTACTCTACGCCCTTCCGAAGTAGGTCGGTGAGTGGACTAGCGATCGATGCGTAACCCTGAACGAAACGACGGTAGTAGTTCGCGAAACCGAGGAAGCTCTGCAACTCCTTGACTGAGGTCGGTGCTACCCAATCCTGTACTGCTGCGATCTTCTTCGGGTCAGTCCTAATGCCACTAGCGGATACGACGTGTCCTAGGAACTCGACCTCTGGAAGGAAGAACTCGCACTTCGAGCGTATAACTGCTCCCTCCGTAAGACCTCGAAGACCTTCTGCAAGTGCTGCACGTGCTCATCTTTCGTCTTAGAGAACACTAGGATGTCGTCTAGGTAAACGACAACGAACGACCCTAGGAACTCGGAGAGGACTGTGTTCATGAGCGTCTGAAACGTCGCTGGGGCGTTGGTCAATCCGAACGGTAGAACCCTAAACTCGTACAACCCCTGCTTCGTACGAAACGCCGTCTTGTGCTGGTCCTCTGGAACTACTCGAATCTGGTGGTAACCCGAACGAAGGTCGATCTTTGAGAAGACTCTAGCGCCCTGCAATGCATCGAGGAGATCCTCTAGTCTCGGCACCGGGAATCTATTCTTGACGGTGGCGGCGTTCAGTGCGCGGTAATCTATGCACATCCGTAACCCTCCGTCTTTCTTGGGTGCGAAAAGTATCGGTGCGGCCCAAGGCGATCTAGATGGCTGTATGAAACCCTGTGCGAGAAAGTGCCTAACTTGCTGCGTCATCTCCTCTGTCTCCGCTGGACTCAACCTCCACTGCGGCTTCGCTACTAGCCTGCTCCCCGGCTCCAATTCTATTCGATGGTCTACTGCTCGGCTGGGAGGCAACCCTGGGGGCAACTCGTCGGGGAAGACGTCTGCGAACTCTGCTAACAGTGCACTCACCTCAGCAGGAAGAGTCGCCTTCTCACTAACTGCTGCACTCCCTCCTTTCCCCTCCTCAGCTTCCACCTCCTCAAGAAAAACCGCGAAGATCCGTGCCGCACGCTTCACTAACTGTCGCACACGAACAGCATTAATGATAGCTGTGGATGATGTGGCCCCATCGCTCCACTGTGGCAGCTCCCGGAACTCCCCGTCTACCTTGACGCTGCAGCTTCCCTGAGCCCAATCGAACTGAGTACTAACCGTCCGTAGCCAATCTCTCCCGAAGATAAAATCGTATCCGTCCAGCGTCGCAGAGTCGAAATCACGCCTGACTGTGATCGGTCCTAGCACTACGCGCAACTTGCGGATGATCGGTCCTATGTGAAGTGGCGTCCCATCTACCATGCGAGCGTCCTTGAAGTTGACTGCTGAATCTGCTTCGAGATGGAGACGAGAAACTAACGATGAAGAGACGAACGAGTGGCTAGCTCCGCTATCTACGAGAATCTTAACAGGAACTCCGCGAAGCTTCCCTAGAAGCACGACTGGACGATCAACAGTGTCTACCTCGTTCTCCGTAGATGACTGCTGCGAAGCCGTCTCCTCTACGTTGGTAGACGTGGCGGGTACGGGAACCTCCACACCAGCTAGCGACCCGCTATCTACTGGCGGTTTCCGTTTCCCTGCTGCCGCTCCTTAAGCTGTGGGCACTCTCGCTTCATGTGTCCCGGCATTTTGCAGTAGTGAGAGTTCCCCCTAAATCCCATTTTCTGTGAGCCGTCACTGTTAACTGCACCAATCTCCATGGGCGATGGTCCGTCCCTCGATCGAGCGTCGTTGATCGGTCTGTTGTATCCCCTATCGCGATCGTCACGACCCCGTCGGCTTCGTACTGCGTCGACGCGTTCTGCTGCTGCGACTACCGACTCGAAGGTGGACAACCCGTGAATCGCAATGACTTCCGCTATGTCCGGCTTCAACCCTTCGAGGTAGCGATCGCGCATCTCTGCTTCCGTGATATCGTCTATCTCGTTGCAGATGCTCAAGAACCGTCGTGTGTACTCCTGGACGTTGCCTATCTGTCGGAAATGACGCAAACGCTTCCTAGCAGCTTCGGAGGCGTTCACCAAATCGAACCTACTTTTCAGCGCCGCTTCAAATCCTTCCCATGTGGTCGGAACCGTGGTAACACCCAAAGCTAAACTCCCTAAGCTCGAAGTTGCAGCTGCATGCCCCACGCCCTGTTGATGCCCGTCCGTCTGAGCCCTTCTTACAGCAGTTTGAGTGAGTTGGCGCCACCACTCCAAGGCCGGGCCCCTCAGCAGTGTAACAGCGTACTCGATCCGCTGCTGCGCGTCCGCCTCTTGCACCCCGCTCGCGGCGAAGTAGTTGTTCAGCATGAAGAGCCACGTCCGCACGTTCGCGTCGCGTTGACTTTGGTCGAACGACTCGGGTTTCTGCGGCTTGAGTGCGCTTCGACGTTCCGGCAGCGCTTCCGCGCCAGTCGACGTGTTGGGCGCAAGAGTTGGTGTGGCATGACCATGGGGGTTAGAAGCCAATTCACGAAGCTGTTGCATTTCAGCTCGTACCTGTCGATTTTCCAGCGTCAACTCTTGAAGTTGGCGCATGAGCTCGGCAAGCGTGTTGCCCATGTCGTGGGGGACTGCGTGCATGGTTTCGTCCATGTTCACTCAACGACTCCAAGTCTGCAAGTTGGCACCGCGGGACGATGACGTCGTAGTCTCGTCGTCGACGGTCGCTCGTTGGAAGTCGCTCCCCGCGAAGGCTCCTAATACCAAGTGTTAGGCCCGACGGCCTAAGTCCGCTAAAGAATTAGCGGGGTCGACTAAGTCGAGGATGGAACGCGGCGGAAGACTTTGGCGAAAGAACTATTGGCGAAATAGGCGAAGAAGTTACTGAGTAATTGAAGAAGAGTTGAATGAGAATTGATTGATAATGGCAAGTACAAGCAAGGTTTATATAGCATGCAAGAAACAAGGTTGGAAAGTGGAATGTGGGACCAAGAATTGGAGTGCAAGAAAAGTAGAGTGCCACGTGGCACTAGAGAATCTGAGAAGATAAGGATAATGGTGACTAGGAATGTACTGTTCGGAATGAACAGTAAACACCCCTCTAACAGTGGTCATGTGTGTGTGAGTGTTGTCACGTGACAATACTTCCAAATCTTGTGTGTGCGTTCTTCGATTTTAATCATTTGCCCAGGGTATAAGCCGCAGCCTGAATTACAAAAGCGAGTCAACGCTAGGTTTGGGTTGGGTTGGGAGTCAAGCAAACTGAGGTTCGGAAGTTTAACGAAAGTTGCACCCTAGCGAAAACAAAGTGCGACAACCTGGTGTCGCACCAAACAAATGACTCGGGAGGGGAATGTGCCTGGATATGTTATATGAGTGAACAAAAGCACCTCGACATACCTTACACCAGGTAAGAAACTAATAGTTAGACTTCAAGTAGGAAAACGTCACCATGCGACCAAAACGACGGCATACCATCCGCGTTTCCCCTATACATCGCACGCAAGTTCAAGCCCCGTCGCCCACAATTTTAGGGTTACAGCGCATGCAGTTCCGATACCCAGCGACGCCCGCATTTAGAATTCCCGTCGCCCGCATTTAGCATTTTCGTCGCGTGAGCGTGCCATTCCCGTAGCGCTAATATCCCCTACCCGTCACACGCAGGTCCCGTTCGACCCGCCCGCATTTCCCCTTCAATTCGCGGGCCGCATTTCCCCTTCGCTTCACCCACATTTCCGCGTCGATTCAGCCACATTTCCTCTTCGATGCGCCAGCTATAGGCGATCCCATCGCCTAAATTTCGCCAGCCCGTCGACTGCAGATTCCCTTCTCGTCGGCCGCCTTACCCTTTCCCGTCGACCCCACATGTCATTTCCGTCGACTTTCCCTGTGATCCTTCCCGTCGTCCGCACCGCACAGCCCTGTCTCCCGTGAAAGGTAAGCTTCTCACCTTTCCTAATCGGTCTCACAGCCACGATGCCTCTAAGCTGTTGCCTTTCCACAAAAGAGCGCAGCGCTCTCATATTCTCTCCCACAGCGCCCTCATATTCTCTCCCACAGCGCTCTCATATTCTCTCCCACAGCGCCCTCATATTCTCTCCCACAGCGCTCTCACACTCTCTACCCCGGCGCCATCGCATTCCCTCACACTCATCCCATTTCCAGGTAATGACCCATCCCCAGCGCCCTCCCATTCTCTACCCCAGCGCCCTCACTCTCCCGTCCACAGCGCCATCACAATCCCCTCCAGATTGCCCCAAGCCCATCGCGGAGCCTGCCCCATCCCTCACCTCCCCATCCGTCACCTCCCCATCCCTCATCTCCCCTCGCACACTTGTCACGCCCCCTTTCCAACCCGCACGTACACCCTTCCCTTCTTCCCTGTTTCCCCGTATCCCCTGCGCTGCTTCCCCCCCATCCTCCGACTTGCTTCCCCCCATTTCCTTCCCTGCTTCCCCCCGTCCCCTCCCCTGCCTCCCCCCATGCCCGTCCCTGCTTGCCCCCATCCCTTCCCTGCTCCCCCCCATCCCCTAACATGCTTCCCCCCATCCCCTTCCCTGCTTCCCCCCGTCCTCTTCCCTCCTTTCCCTCGTCCCCCTCCCACCATCCCCCCATCCCCTTCCCTGCTTCCCCCCATCTCCTTCCCTGCTTCCCCCATCTCATTCCCTGCTCCCCCCCATCCCCTTCCCTTCTTCCCCCCATCCCCTTCCCTGCTCCCCCCCATCCCCTTCCCTGCTTCCCCCCCCCCCATCCCCTTCCCTGCTCCCCCCCATCCCCTTCCCTGCTTCCCCCCGCCCCCTTCCCTCCTTTCCCCCGTCCCCCTCCTAGCATCCCCCCATCCCCTTCCCTGCTTCCCCCCATCCCCGTCCCTGCTTGCCCCCATCCCCTCCCCTCCTTCCCCCCGTCACCCCCCCGTCACCCTCCCTTCACCCTTGCTCCCTAGGTTTCACCCTTGCTCCCCTGTTTCACCCTTGCCCCCCCTGTTTCACCCGTGCTCCCTCTCTTTCACCCTTGCTCCCTCTGTTTCACCCTTGCTCCCTCTGTTTCACCCTTGCTCCCTCTGTTTCACCCTTACTCCCTCCCCTTCTTCTCTTCTCACTCTCTTCCCCCTTGCTCACTCTCTTCACTTCTGCTCACTCTGATCCCCCCTGCTTCCTCTCTTCCCCTCTGCTCAATCTGTTCCCCGCTGCTTCTTCTCTTCCCTTCTGCTCATTCCATTTTCTGTCTTTCCCCATTCACTCACCCCCATATCCCCCAATGCATTTACAGGTGTTTAGCACCAGATGTGGCTTTACCACGGCCTGGTTTATTGCTTGTAGTGTAGCAGACAAAACCGGGAAGCAACATTACACACACACCCCCTAGCTTTGTTCTTATCTTGAGTGATTTCCCTTGCTTTACAGATACGGTAATTTATTATTTGTTGAACTCCTTGGAATTGGTCATGTGTATGACTGCTCTGAGGCTCATAATGCTGTATTATATATATATAAAAAAAAAGTTTAAATACATGGCATGGCTATACATCGTGTTACTATCAGACAGCCAGCCCATCACAACCAGATGCAGAGCGGACCTGTCCAAACACAAACCAAGAAGTCAGATGTGACGTAGGTGAAGTATAAGGGAAGCAAGCATGCAAAAGAATGACATCTGGCAAATGAAGAAGGGAGGATCGAAGGGAGGAAGTGAGGAATGCAGGAATAAAGGGAGTAAGTGATGATGGGAGGAAGGGAGGTAAGGAGGACGTTTGGGGGAGAAGCAGATGGGAGGGGAGGAAGAGAGGCTGGGGAGGAAGGTGGGGAGCCCCAGAGCAGCGCAGAGCACCGCATCTCGCGTAGCTCTGCACAGCATTGCAGAGCAGAACAGAGCACAGAACCGCACCGCACACAACCGCACAGCAGAGCATGTTGTGTTGCGGCTCACATGTAGCACGAGCACAGCAGCAGTGTAGCACGCGCTTCCAGTTGTCCCTGCAGAAGAGGGTGAAGGGGCGGGAATGGGGGAAACAGGGGAGAGGGGGCTGGGGAAAAATAGGATCGAGGCTATGGAGGGAAATAATGGAGAGGGCGATCGGGAGGGGAAACAGGGGGAACTTGTTGAGACGGAATGGAGTGAGGAGGAAAGGGGTGAGGAGGAGATGGGGTGGGGCGGACAGGGGTGGGGCGGCAATGGTGCCTCCCACGGTGTCGCGGCGCCCCCGACTCAGCACGACGACTCGCCCCACTCCTCCACCTCGCGTCCACACCATCCCTGAGGGCAGGGGATGGGATGGGGTTGACGGGGGAGAGGCGGGGATGGTGACGCGGGGAGGGGCACACAGGGCGGGTTTCCGCATCATTTACAGCAACAGCAGCAAGGATGGGGAGGTGAGGGATGGGGAGGTGAGGGCTGGGGAGGTGAGGGCTGGGGAGATGAAGGATGAGGACATAAGGGATGGGGAGATGCGGCATGGGGATGTGAGGGATGGGGAGATGAGGGATGGGGAGGAAAGGGATGGGAAGATGAGGGATAGGAAGATGAGGGACGGGGAGGTGAGGGATGGGGAGGTGAGGGATGGGGAGGTGAGGGATGGGGAGATGAGGGATGAGGACATGAGGGATGGGGAGATGCGGCATGGGGATGTGAGGGATGGGGAGGTGAGGGATGGGGAGGTGAGGGATGGGGAGGTGAGGGATGGGGAGGTGAGGGATGGGGAGGTGAGTGGGAGGTGAGGGCTGGGGAGGTGAGGGATGGGGAGGTGAGGGCTGGGGAGGTGAGGGATGGGGAGGTGAGGGATGGGGAGGTGAGGGATGGGGAGGTGAGGGATGGCGCTCCAGCAGGAAATAAACCGCTGCCTTGTCGTACGCTGCACGCACTGACTCTAACTATAGCATGAGGGGAGAAAGGGTGGAGATGAGAAGGGAGAAAGGGGACGGGAGAGAGTGAGCGAAGGCGACAGGAGGGGGGTAAGCGTGGGCGACGGAAGGGAGTGATAGTGTGCGACGTACGGGCAGTGAGCGTGGGCGACGGATGGGGAGAGAGCGTGCGCGACGGGGAGGAGTGAGCGTGGGCGACGAGAGGGAGTGGGCATGGGCGAGGGAGGGGAGTGAGCATGTGCGACGGAGGGGACCGTCGCGGCGGGAGGGAGTGAGCGTGGGCGACGGGAAGGGAGTGAGTGCTGGCGACGGAAGTGATTGAGAGTGGGCGACGGAAAGATTGCGCGAAGGCGATGGGAAGGGAGTGAGCGTGGGCGACGGGAAGGTCTTGAGCGTGGGCAACGGAAGGGAGTGCGAGTGGGCGGCGGGAACGGAGTGCGCGTGGGCGACGGAAGGGAGCGTGCGTGCTCGGTCTTGGGGAGTGCGCGTGGGAGACGAGAAGGAATTTGTAATCCGCGACGGAGGGAAGCGAGCGTGCGAGGCAATGGGGATTGCGCGAAGGAGACGGGAGGGGAAAGAGCGTGCTTGTTCGAGCGAGGAAGCGTGAGCGATGGAGGGGAGAGCGTGTGTGGGACGGAAGGGGACCGAGTGTTCTCGTCGGGGAGAAGAAGCGGATGCGATGAAGTAGTTGGATAGAATCTTAGAAACGCGGACAGCATCCATGGGCACGGCTAGCTATGTCGAGTGAAAGTGTGACCTAGAATCGCGGAGCTTTATCTACGGATAGGACGGAATGGAGTAATAGCCCTAAGGAGTAAGGCAGAAATAAGAGGCCTGGCGCTGGAATGGGGTTGGAGCCTAGCTGTTCTAGGCTATGGCTGCCGCTCTAGCTGATCAGACTAGGCATTTTCAAACGACCTGAATTACAGGTTTCCAGTTTGGTGCGCACACCTCCAGCCAGAGTGGTTGCGCAGGGACCGAGCGACACTTCCCTGAGCTGCCTGCGACTTCATCACGTTCTGTAGGTGAACAACTGGTAACCACCCTGGTTCGGGAGGGAAAGTGTTTATGTAAGGAATTTTGCTAATTCCTTACTGAGGCACCGCTTACGCGTACATTTCCAACTTTTCGGAGTTCAGGCTCGGTCCGACGACCTCGCCTCCCGAACGTCCTCCGCGTCGCCTTCGGGTTTTTCCAAACCCAAACCTACACCCAACCCTCGCACGACTTCGCGACCTCGGGCTTAGCTAGCCTTGCTATATTATGCCTAGGCCCCGATGTTTGCTCAGTAGTTGTAATCACTTCCGCGATATTGCATTCTGCGCACTCTTCTTTCATACAACTCATAACACCTGGTATCAGAGCTACTTTCCTAGGTTACCCTCCACTTTCCGGGGTAGTTTAGTACGGGGGTGCGATAGGTTTGGTGGGCTGCAAAGCGGTCGGCTGAGAGATAGATACGATTATCTCGCTCCGACTAATAGCGTTTGCGCCTTCATCAAAACCAGAAAAATCGCTGTTAACCCCCTGCCCGTTAGACGAAGCCTGCGACACATGGACCAGGCAGAGTTAAACGAGCTCATGCAACAGTTTCGGGCGCTGCAGGCCAACATGCAGACTATGTCTGGCGAGTTGGAGCGCCTGAGGGAGGAAAACGCCGAGCTACGCCAGACGCGAGGTGAAGCGCGTCAGGAGTCGCCCGCCGTGGATGAAGCAGGAAGCAGTTTCGTGCCTAACGACGAGGTCCTCAGCGAGCTACAGAACTCGCTGGACGCTGAAGACGAGCGGACAGCACGAACGCAACGAGCACAAGGGACGCAGGAGCAACAGTCACAGCCGAGGCAACAGTCGCAGACGACGCCACGACAGGCACCAGCGACAACCCCGGTGATGGCTTCAATGGCGCCCCCGATGCATGCAGCAGCAACAGTCTCAACAACTGTTAAAATAAAACCGACGAACCCGCCCCCGTTCAACCCCAGCGACAAAGCCGTCACTGTGTCAGCTTGGTTGTTCGGTGTAGAGGTTGTCAGAATATTATCTTATGTTCTAGCCTGTAGTGGGGTGCTCTATAGCGAGTACAACCCTTCTAGGGTTTTGCTATTTGTATCCTCATTCCTGCTAGTTCAACCCTCTTTCTTTCTTCTAATTTTGTCAGAGGTGTTTTTCAATGCTGTGCAAATTGCTGACGATGCTACCCGCATTAATTTTGCAGTGTCACTATTGCGAGGACCGGCGTTGGAATGGTGGAAGCGGACTCTTCAGCCAGAGGGGGCTCCGGCAGGGATATCACGTGCGAACGACGGGACCTGGGCAGCTGTCACGCAACAGGCAACTTCAATCTTCGGAGTGGCCACGATACGCACATGGACGGAGTGGGGCGCCGCGCTGCGAAGCAGATTTGAGCATGTATCCGCCTCGGATTCTGCTCGCATGAAGCTGCGTACCTGGAAGCAGGTGGCGTCGGTCCAAGATTACACGGCGACATTCTGCAATTTGGCTGACCAAGTGGACGATATGAGCGACGCGGAACGACTCGACCGATACGTCGCAGGCCTCAAGTACGACGTACAGTACGAGGTGCGACGGGCGAGGCCACGCGTATTTATCGAAGCCGTCCAAGTGGCCGAATCGACGGATGCGCTGATGCAATGGGCGAGAATGAGTTCCCGGGAGGGCACTCAATTTCGTGGACCGCCGCGCCAGCCCACAATCAACGGGGTGGAGGCACCGAGGCGGGGAAACAACAACTGCTTCAACTGCAACCAACCGGGCCACTGGAAGAAGGACTGCCCGAAGCTGAAACAGGGAAACAGGAACGACGGAGAGGGGTCGGGAAAAGAAACGAGTCAGTAGCAGTCGGGCCACCTACTGACGAGACCCCGTCGCCCGGCAATCAACATCCACACCGAGTAGTGGTACCGATACGGGCTATCGACCGCAACCGGACGAATAAGGTGGATGAACACGTGGATCACCCTGTGCTGGTCGTGGGGAGGGTTAACGGGCATAAAATAGAATTATTCGTCGACGGTGGGGCGAGCCACAGTCTCGTCAACCTGGCGACGGCCAAAAAAATCGGAGTCAAGCTGGACAGGTGTCTACCAGAGATTGATGCGCGATTGGTGGACGGAACACCGTTGGCGATCAAGGACGAGGTCCGACAAATTCGGATGAAGTGTGGCGACGATTTCGGGTTCTCCATGCGAATGCTGGCGACAACACTGGACGGTTGCGATGTGCTGCTCGGAAGGGATTGGCTGCAGCGTTTCAATCCGACCATCGACTGGACGACGGGAGCGATCACGGTGCTGTGCAACAAGGGGCGCGTGACACTTCCGAAATGGGCGGAGCCGGAGCCGACGACAACACGTGTCAACGCGATAACGCTGAAGAGGGCGATAAAACGGGGAGCACAAGGCTACGCCGTACAGCTGTACGAGGTGGTGGCTTCCGAAAAAATCGCCGACATCGACACGCTCTGCGCTGCTGTACCCGACGACGTGGCGAGCATAATTCGGAGGTACCCCGAAATATTCGCAGATGACCTACCTGATGGGCTGCCACCTCAGCGTCCGGAAGACCACAGGATTGAGCTGGAACCAGGCGCGAAACCAACCGTTCGGTCCCAATGGCGGCTCAGCCAACCGGAGCTCGACGAATTGCAGAAACAGCTGGATTATCTGCTTTCTAAGGGTTTTATCCGGCCGAGCACGTCGCCGTACGCCGCCCCGATACTATTCATACCGAAAAAGGACGGAGGCCTGCGCATGTGCATCGACTATCGAGCGTTGAATCGGGTCACAATCAAGTCGCGTTACCCGATCCCATGAGCAGACGACCTGCTGGATCAACTTCGCGGGGCTCGTTTCTTCTCGAAAATCGATTTGCGAGGTGGCTACCATCAAATTCGTGTGTTCGCCGACGACTGCCCGAAGACCGCATTCCGCACCCGCTACGGCAGTTATGAGTACACCGTGATGCCGTTCGGGCTGACGAACGCACCCTCGACTTTCCAGCTCACTATGAATGGAGTGTTTCGGGACATGTTGGATAAAAAAGTTATTGTTTACCTGGACGACATCCTGGTGTACAGCAAGACTCGGGAGCAGCATTTACAGGACTTAGACGAAGTGTTCCGACGCTTGCAGCAGAACCGGCTGATTACGAAGGGCTCTAAGTGCGAGTTCTTACGGTCGGAGCTGGAGTTTCTGGGGCACGTTGTCTCTGGGGAAGGCATTAAAATCGACCCTCAAAAAGTAAAAGCGATTTTGGAGTGGAAGCCGCCCACGAACATCACTGAGTTGCAGAGTTTCCCAGGCTTCGTTAACTACGTCCGCCGTTTTGTACCCAATATGGCGGGGGTAACCAGGCCGTTAACCGATCTCCTGCATATGGGCGTGCAGTTTTTTTGGGGGGAGAGAGAACAGCTGGCTTTCAACGAGCTGAAGAAAATTCGAGTTCACCCCTGGTGCTTCGACTGGCAGATCCATCTCGACCGTTCGAAGTCGTGACGGACGCCAGCGATTTCGCTATCGGCGCTGTGCTATTACAGGACTTCGGCAACGGACTGCAACCCATCGCGTACGAGTCAAGAAAAATGCAGCCGCCCGAGCGCAACTACCCGGTTCACGACAAGGAAATGCTCGCCATCGTGCATGCGTTTCGAACATGGCGATGCTACCTCACGGGAGCGGATGTCACAATCCGAACTGACCACCAGTCACTACAGTACATGCGCAGCCAACCACAGCTCAACCCACGACAAATCCGGTGGCTCGACTACCTCGAATCAAATTTCCGCTACACCATCACATATAAAAAGGGCGCCAACAACATCGCCGACGCTCTGAACCGCCCATCCATGCAGACCGCAGCAGTACTAATCGCCCATTCCAACCCTTTATTGGCAGGATTATTCAAGCACGGCTACAGGATCGACAGATTTTTCAGGACCAGTCAACACCGCGGGGTCACTACACCGCATGGAAGTTACTACCTAAAAGTCGGTACTAACCGAGTTTGGGTACCTTCCTACCGACCCTTACGCGAATTACTGACGCAAGAAGTACACGACTCCAACCTCTCCGGGCATTTCGGCGTCGACAAAACATTGAAGCTGCTGCAGCGGAACTACTACTGGCCCGACATGGCGTCGGACGTGCAGCGCTATGTGTCCGCCTGCCCGACCTGCCAGGCAATGAAGTCATCACGACAACGACCAGCTGGCTTACTGCAGCCCCTCGAGCCACCCGAACGACCGTGGCAACAGGTGACTATGGATTTCGTCACGGGCCTTCCAGCTGGCGCAAGTGGCAACGACTCCGTGCTCGTCGTCGTTGATCGCTTAACGAAAATGGCGCATTTCGCGCCCTGCCGTACAACGATCACAGCCGAAGAAACAGCGCGACTCTTCATCTCGACCGTCGTACGCCTCCACGGGTTACCTTCGGCGATCATCAGCGATCGAGATCCGAAATTCACGTCGAAATTCTGGCAGGAGACATGGGCACAGTACGGCACCCGCCTGCAATTTTCGTCGTCCTACTACCCGCAAACCGACGGACAGACGGAGAGGACAAACCAAACGATGGAGCAGCTGATTCGCACGAACTGCCCGGACATCACCAAGTGGGAAGATTACCTTCCCATGCTCGAGTTTGCGTACAATAACGCCCCATCTGCAACGACCAAGCAATCACCCTTCTACCTGAATCACGGGATAGACCCGGTGGTACCCTCATCGACAACTCCCGACAACCCGGTACCCAGGTCACAGCAGTTTATTTCGGAACTCCAGGACGCGTGTGCCAAAGCAGCTGACTTTATCCGAAAAGCAAATTCGACCGCCAGCCGCTACGCTGACCAACACCGACGAAATTTACCCTTCCGCGAGGGGCAGATGGTTCTCCTGGACACCAAAAACCTCAGACTGCCCCAACCCGCAAAACTGCGTCCTCGATGCGTGGGACCTTTCCGCATCATTCGAATGCTGACACCGGTCACTGCGAAACTTCTCCTCCCGGACGACTGGCATATCCACGACGCCTTCCACGTCAGTTAACTTCGCCACTACGTGGCACCCCAGTCCTCCGACGTCGCTCGACCCCACCAGGCGCCAAGTGTCCGACCGGTAGCAGATCCCACGCTCCAACCCTGGAAGATATTGAATCATCGCATTCGTGCGACCCCAGCCGGCCGCCACGTCGATTTTCTACTGCGATGGGTGGATCGCACAAGTGACGACGACACGTGGGTCCCGGCTGACTCACTACAAGGGCACTCGGTACTCCGGCAGTATCTTTCTCGCCGACACGTGCCTGATATTGACCACCTTTCTTGAAGGGGGGGGTAGTGTAAGGAATTTTGCTAATTCCTTACTGAGGCACCGCTTACGCGTACATTTCCAACTTTTCGGAGTTCAGGCTCGGTCCGACGACCTCGCCTCCCGAACGTCCTCCGCGTCGCCTTCGAGTTTTTCCAAACCCAAACCTACACCCAACCCTCGCACGACTTCGCGACCTCGGGCTTAGCTAGCCTTGCTATATTATGCCTAGGCCCCGATGTTTGCTCAGTAGTTGTAATCACTTCCGCGATATTGCATTCTGCGCACTCTTCTTTCATACAACTCATAACAGTTTACACCTCCCAACTTTTTTTGTAATTCAGGCTGCGGGTTCTATGTTCAAATTCACCCGTGAATTTAGCTTGCAATTAGCTGAATCGTCATACCACTGTACGCTTATTTTTAAAACCGTTTTTAACCTCGTTTTGTCCTGGCAGACATTTTTCTTGCCAGCGCCACACATTCCCGGCCACCCATTTTCTTGCCAGCACCACAGACCCTCCCTTTCTTCTCCCATTTTGTATCGCGTTTTACCACCACCTGTCGCCTCCAGGGCTGTCGATTCAAGGGCATTTGGCCTTAATGCCCTGAACATTAAGGTCTGACTTTGCCCCAAAGTCCAGATTCTCAGGGTTGAGTTTCTGTACAGCCCGGAATGGTAACGGGCGTGGGCTGGGCCTTCCCCGGAATCTTACAGGGTCCTCTTGGAGGGCTTCCCTGATTCCAAGGGAAATTTTCCGGCCTTACCCGGAAACTTCCACGGCCCTTCCAGACCCCCCCCCCCCCCCCCCCCCCCCCCCTCCCCCCCTTTTCCCGTTTTCCCCTTACCACCATTCCATCCCTCCTCCGATCCGAACCCATCCCTGTCTGCCGCCAAGTCACATGTTATCGGCTAGCTGACCAATTGCACTCTTTCCCCCAACCACGCTTCTCCGTTGCTCCACTTTCATGCATCCCGTCTCGAGCCCAGCCACCTTCCCTCCATTCCACTACCACGTCCACCACAGGAGGGTTTGAGTGGAGTGGTAGTTGTTGTAACGTGTGATTCGTGTCGTGCCATCACACGCTTGCGCGATGTCAACGTTCCATCCGCCTCCCCTCAATCACCTCCCTATAATGGTTCTACCCCTGCCACCCCTCTCTTCACTGCAACTCAACTCAGTTTCCCGCACGCCTTAGCTCGGCAGGCTGGGTGTAACGCCAGCGATGGAGGCAGATAGCGAGTTCGATTTTTCCCCCCTCGATGCTCTAGCCGGTATTTGTGGCTCTGTTGGCACGGTGAGCTTGGATGACAGCGTCGCTAATGACGCTGACCAGGAGTTTGATGACAAAGGAGAGGAGGAAGAATACGAAGGCGAGGAGGAAGAAACCGAAAGCGACGAGGAACATTCCGAGGGCGAGGATGAAGAAGAAGGCGAGGAGGAAGAAGATGAAGGAAAGCGCGGGTACCTTGACATTGGCATCAACGTGGCCATCACCGATTCCCAGCTATCCCGGCTAGAGCGCGCGGCAGCACAGTCGGGAATCCCGCTTCGTCCAGCACGCTTCCGCCAATCGGTGATCAGCTTCGGCGGGACTACTGCACCAACCCGGCCTGCGAAGAAACGTATGCGCACACCTTTGCCTCCCCGACCAGAGCCTGTCGCGGACAACGATTGGCTGGCGGAAATGGACGAGGAGAAGAGGAAGGCATTCAAGATTCCTGCGTCAGAGCAGGCTATGGCGCGGCACTTCAACCCAGTGTGGAAGCTGCAATACCCGTGGCTGACGCTCGAGTTCGACCCTAAGCTTATGCAGTATGGCATGAAGTGCAAGGTCTGCAAAACGCACGCACCACATACTAAGTCCCCGTTTGGTCGAGGTGGTGCAGGTGGTCGCGACTTCCAGAAGAACGCGTGCAAGTCTCACGATCATTCCAAGGTTCACCTGGCTGCCATGACCGCCGAGCGCCTCGCACAAGGGACGGAGACAGTGCAGCACAGTCTCCTCGACATGCTCAGCAAGGACCCGCGAATGGCTCGTGTCATCAAATGCATGCAAGCAGCCTACTGGATTGCGCGGCATGATGCTCCAATTGTGCTCTACTCCAGCCTTGTGCGCTTCCTTGCAGATCAAGGATGCCCTGACCTCAAGAACGACGACACGTACGGGCGGTATTTCTCACGGTGAGTGTGTCTGAGGTCATCCCTGCCCTTATATTGTTTAGTTCCGCCGTCTTTGACTGACTATGTTTTTATTGTTTCTTCCCAGATACGCGTTCGGGGAGTTCGTGAGCGCACTGGCGACGCACCTGGGCGAACGGCAGCTGGCGGACATCAGGTCCTCCCCGTGTTTCGGCTTGGCATTCGACGAGTCAACCGACCGCGCACACGGGAAGCATCTAATCGTCTACATCACGTACGAGAAGGCGGAGACCCCCGTGACTCAGTTCCTCGCCCATCTTCCCGTCGACAAGGCCGACCCCAAGTCCCTGCACGCGTCCATCACGGGATACCTCCAGGAGAAACGGATCTCCATGGAGAGATTCGTCGGCGTATCCACTGATGGCGCCTCCGTCATGACGGGAGCCCATAATGGCGTCGTCGCCTTGCTGCGCAAGGATTGCCCGTGGCTGGTCGCGGTGCACTGCGTCGCCCATCGGTAAGCAGTGATATTTTGTTATGTAACTGCCGCGCTGTTCGGATTCAAGCTGTTCCAATGATACTAATCCCTGCCGGTTGTTTGCTATGTGCGTTAACACCCGCCCCACAGGGAGGCGCTAGCCGCCAAGGACGCGGCAGACGCGATCCCAGAGTTCAAGGTTGTAGATTCTCAGATCCGCAAGACAGCAGAACACCTGGGCCGCTCGTCTGTGGATCGGAAAACCTTCCTGCATCTTCAGGAGGTCATCCTGAAAACCAACCTGGAGGTGCAAGGGATCTTCGCGGTGCGGTGGTTGTCTCGAGGGGACGCGGTGCAGCGATTCTGCGATGTTCTTCCGGCGCTGATGTGGATGTGGAAGCAGAAGAACAAGAAGATGTGGCGGATTGGGAGCAGCTTCAAATTTCACTTCATGCTTCACCTCCTGGCTGATTTCCTTGACCTCCTCAACATCCTCAACCTCTCCTTTCAGAAAAGCCGCGTGAGTGTTTGCTGTTTATTTCGTTCATTACATTCGTGTACCACCAACTGACTCGCGCCGCCAATGCCCTCTATCCAGGTCGACATCGCAGAGGTCAAGAACCTCGTCGACAAGCTCAAGACCAAGCTTTCGCAGCGCTACATCGAGCCCGACGCCAAGTTCGGGGGCGGCACGAACTCCAGGCTGATGAAGTTTCTGGAAAAGCATTCGAAGGACCGCACCATGCAGCTGACTGGGCTGAATGCGGACGGCGAAAAGGTGATCGAGGCCGTTGAGCTGCACGAAGAGAAGATTGGCACTGAAGGCGGCTCTGATCTGAACGCCTGCTATGACCTTGGAAAGAGGTTTGCGCAGGCGCTCATCAAGAGCCTCTCAGACAGGATGGCGGATCTCCGCCGCTTTGATGGTGTGCAATTTTTCCGTCCTCACAGTTATCCCTATCGGCTGTGTGAGCAGGACATGTGGTTCTCCTCCAACATGGATCAGCTGCTGGAAATGTTCAGCCATCAACTTCCAGGTATAGTTTCTGTTAGGCGCACGTACTTAGTGTTGGAAACAATAAGTCTTAGTGCGCTTCTGTCGTGTCAAAACCCAAGACACTAGCGAAGCAGTCCGAATCGAAGCATCGAGTCAAACCTCGGAGGTTAGGGTAACCGCCTGGAGGTTACGAGAAAGTCAAAGGTCAGCGACCTTTGACTCGACAATTACAGCGCGACAGTTAAGGACACACAACTGACTCGTTACAGAGCAGTTGCCCGAGTCGCACTGTATCGAATCGCAACAGCAATACAGTTATCTATCTATTCGTATTCCCTGTACTCTTATATAAAGCCTTGTATTTGCTTGTTTAAATTAATCTACTTTGCTCTCACACACTAGTGCAAGGTCGGTTCACAAGTTTCATTAAACGCTTCCGCTATTACAAGTTTCCTACCCAGAGTTATCCTCTGCAAAGATCCTTAAGGGCCTTCTCAGCCCAACATGGTATGAGAGCTGACAGGGGAAACTCTAAACTTTTTATATTACAAGACATGGCAACAAACAAGGAAAGGAGCTCCCCTAATGGCTCCTCGGGCACTACTCCTACTCCACCACCAGCCTCTGGCCTGCAAACAGAGGAAGGCACGGCAGCAAGACCAAGGGGAACGTCAACCGAGACCCCCACGAATCACCCTTCTGACTTCGACCAGAGCATGATGGAGAAATTCTTCTCCTTCATGTCCTTCTACGAGCAACACCAGCAGTCGGGACCTGCACAGACACACAACAGCAACAACGGAGCGACACCCATGAGCCTTGATGGGTCGTCATATGCGCGAGGGAATCAACAGCAGCAACCCACCTTCGCCCCGTACGAGCGCGGGTCGATCAGCTTCCTGCCTCAACCTTCACCTGCGCAAGACAAACCAATGGACGCGTTACAAGTTCAGTCGCAATTCGCGCATGTTTTGAAATTACAAACGTCAAGACCTTTCGACGGAAAGGACTTCTTCACCTGGTCCTTTGAATTCGAGCTGATGATGGAGGGCGCGCAGATACTCGGCTTCTTCGACGGATCCCTGCAGTATCCAGCAAACGGCACACAGTATGAGAAGCAGCAGTATACGTATCAATCGATGATGGCGTATACTATTCTACTGAGAAACATCACACCAACCCAGCAGCAGAACATTCGCTCTTACCGGAACTTCGGCAACTCGGCGGAACTTGCGTACGGCCATCTGAAGAACGTGTATCAGGCAACAGACAGTGTAAACCAGAGCAGGTTAATGGCGCAGTTGACAACAGTTGAAATGAAACCAGGAGAAAAGGGGTTGGCGTATATCAGCCGATGTCGCGAATTGCGCGACAAGCTTCTTCGATGCGGAGGATCAATCTCTGAAGACGCCTTCGTAACAGTCGTCATCGGTGGCCTCGGTCCTCAGTGGCGCGCCACCAAAGCAATTCTTCGAGCACACGGGAGGATCTCCGAAGCGGCACTCTGCGCCGAAATCCACGCCGAGCAGCAGGATATGGACCTGCAAGAAGAAAGGCACAAGAAAAGGGCATTAGCACCGGAGTTCGCTTTCCATACTCAGCGACGACACAACAACTACAACAACCGACAGCAGCAGCCGAAGTCAGTACCTCCGTTTTGTCACATCTGCAAAACATCAGGACACCCCCGCACGCATTGCCCGTCTCGTCAGACAACACCACATCGACAACTGCGGCCTTCAAGCTCACAAGTTGCTTCAACGCAAGCAAGTCTGACAACAACGATTCAAGCTTCAACGACTTCACCTGGACAACCTGCACAAGGAGCAAGAAACATAGTCAACTGCATGGTAAAGATAAACAACTCTTGCATAACAGAGTCACCACCCCATTACTCACCAGAAGAGGAGCTCGACAACAGGACGCCTCGCCGCGAATCACTCCACCCGAATCCGACTTACGCCGCCATCGCTCAAAGTGAACCGTCCGGCCAAGACACTTGGTTCTTGGATAGTTGCTGCGGGCAACACATGTGCTCGTCCGGGCGCTTCGTACAACGCGAACATCGACTCCAACGAGAAGTGATCATCACGGTCGCCAACAATCAAAACCTGCGCACACGACGACAAGGAGTGGTACAGCTTCAGTCAAGAGAAACAAATGTCATACTGCACATGTCTAAGGTACTCATCGCTGAAGGACTCGGTTACAACTTACTGAGTGTTAGCCAGCTGATGGCGAAGGGGATTCACCTGGAAGCCGACAGCACCACCCAGGAGTTCAAGCTATACCACGGGAGAGGTGGTCTCTACATCGGGAAGGCAGTGCTGAAGAACAACGTCTTCGTCCTCGACTTCGTTCCTGACCTGGGCACTGCAGACAGCGACGCCATCGTGAATTTTACTGACTGGACACACCCTCCTCATCTCGACCCCGACTTTAGCCCGGGAGGTTTCTGGTACTCCCACACTATCCCTGAAGCAGAACGAACAAGAGCGTTAGCGACGATTCAACAAACATCAGAAGCAGAGACAACATCGGCAGCAGCAACAACATCGGCAGCAGCAACAACATCGGCAGCAGAGACAACATCAGCAGCAGCAGGAACAACGACACCGGTCACAGTCGACGAAGCACCACCAACACCCGCGCAACAGCTGAATCCGACTCAATGTGAAGTCCACCGAAGCGCCAACTTCGTCGCCAGTTTTTACTCCAACTCCGACGCATACCAACGTTCACCCGGACACCGCGCCTCTGAAGAGATCTGGCACGCACGCACAGGACATCCAAGCAACACGGTTTTAAATAACACGATAAGCGCAGGAGTTCTTGACAAAGACTCCCTACTTCTACCCGATGGCAGAGAACTCCAGAAGGCACGAGGGACTTGCCTTATATGTCCCGAAGCTGACTTACCTCATCGACCGTTCGCTCCACATCACAACCCGAGCGCTCCAGCGTACGCACCACTCGAAAAGGTCTACAGCGACATCCTCTACAATCGCGAACCAGGACAAGTTAACTACAACTACACCATCACCTTCATCGACGCCGCCACTTGATATGTCTGGCATCGTAACCTACCCAGCCGCGACATGGCACTCGCAGCATTCGCCGCCTGGCTACCGATAGCAGAGAGAGAGTCTGGAACGCAACTGAAAAGCTTCCAGTCAGACGGAGGTGGCGAGTACACCTCTCAGCGCTTCAAGCAGTTCCTGGCGGAAAGGGGGATCAAGCAACTCCTCTCCCTTCCCTACGCACATCAGCAGCAAGGTGTCGCAGAAAGAATGAACAGGACTCTGCAGAACAGCATGCGCAAACTGTTACGTGGCATGCGGCTACCCAACCACCAGTGGCCAGCAGCAATGGACCATGCTGTCATGCTGCACAAATTGTTGTCGTCGTCGTCACTCCCGAACAACGCATCACCGCATCTGCTGTGGACAGGGAAGCAGGGCAGCACAAAAATGTTACGAGTCTTCGGGTGCATGGTACAGTACAGACCCCCAGAAGCACGAGCGGGAAGATTTTCGCAACGGGCACAGTGGGGACTACACCTCGGCATCGAGAAAAATTACAACGCGTGGAGAATCTTCGACGTCCACACAAAAGAAACAGTAGCCGCACGAGATGTGATCTTCTACGAACGCCTCACCCTTCAGACGTACCTCGCCAACTTGCACGAGAATCGGGACCTCACCAGTGGCTTTCGTGGTGACCGAGCCTTCGCGTCAGCAGCGGATGCAGCAGACTGGGATGAGCAGAACGTCGACAACGCATCGGAGGAAGCCGGACCTCTTCCGTACTGCTCCATCAACGTGCCCATGGATGAGGATAACCCTCGTGACAGTAACAACGCCGAAGTCTTCTACCATTTCGCCGACAATGGTTACGTAACACCTGCGACAGTCAACACCAACGAAGCAGAAAGGGTAGGGCCGAATTTCATACCCGACCCAGAAGCGGGAGACGAAGCAGCTTATCCCGAGGATCCAGAACTCCCTCGATACTCACAGACTGGGCTGCAAATCCTTGGTCTCGTCACCGCAGTCCATGGCGCCGCCATTCCTAAGGAGCCTGCGACGGTTCAACAGGCTCTGGGGGGGGAACACAGGGAGAAATGGCGTGAAGCCATGGACAAAGAACTGAAGGCACTGGAGGAGCGCAACACCTGGAAAATCGTTCCCATCGGCGTAGCACAAAACAAGACTATCCTTACCGGGAAGTGGGTCTTCCGTGTGAAGACGAAAGCTGACGGCACCATCGACAAATTCAAAGCTCGCTGGGTCGTACGCGGCTTTGACCAGGAGCACGGAAGAGATTACACCGAAACCTTCGCTCCGGTCAGCCGTCACACCTCACTCCGAATCCTCATCGCCGTCGCCGCCATGAAGAAAAAGAAATTGCGACAAATCGACGTCGCAAACGCATTTCTCTACGCACCTGTAGATGCAGAAATCTTCGTCGAGCTCCCGCACGGCTCCCACGGCGAACCCAACCGAGTCTGTCAACTGCTTAAATCGCTCTACGGGATCAAGCAGGCACCGCGACTGTGGCAGCAGTACCTACACGCCCGCCTCATCCGCATTGGTTTCAAACAACTCCCGCATGACCAGGGCATGTATCGCCTCACAAAGGGAAGCGACTACGTTCTCCTAATCGTCTACGTGGACGATCTCCTCTACATTGGGTCAACCGACGGCATCACCACGTGGTTCGAAGGGGAGCTTCAGAAAGACCTCACGCTCACGGTCTCTTCTACGCTTACGCAGTACCTCGGGCTCAACATCCGCGAGGAAGAAAACGCAATCTATCTAAGCGCCGAGAAGTACGCCGACACCATCGCGAAACGCTTCGGCCTCACACCAAGCGCCATCTCCACGCCTTACCGCTACACGTCAGGAACCGAAAAGGGACGATCTACTCTACTCAAGCCCGCCGGCATACGCGACTATCAGAAGAAGCTCGGATGTCTTCTCTTCGCAGCAGTCACATGCCGTCCCGACTTATCCTACTCCGCGAGCCAGCTCGCCACCTATCTCAAGAAGCCTGAAGCAGAGCATCTGGCGGAACTCGATCGCGCTCTCCACTATTTCGTCAGCACCGCGATGATCGGATTAACTTATCACAAAAACGCAACTACACCGACCAAGCTAATCGGCTACGTCGACGCCGATCACGCCGGCGACACCGATAACAGGCGCTCACGCACCGGCTATGTCTACCGCCTCGAACCTATCGGTCCTATCTCCTGGCAGTCGAGTAAGCAGGAGTTAATCGCACTGTCTTCAGCTGAAGCGGAATATATTGCACTCTGCTCAGCCACCAAGGTGTCAGAATATTATCTTATTGTTCTAGCCTGTAGTGGGGTGCTCTATAGCGAGTACAACCCTTCTAGGGTTTGCTATTTGTATCCTCATTCTTGCTAGTTCAATCCTCTTTCTTCCTTCTAACTTTTGACATGCTATCAGAGCAGGTCGATCCCCTTGGATCGATCCTGTGGGTGTGTCCCCACCTTGCTTCCGCTGCTACTTTTTCATCCCGCCGTGCGCCCCGAGGCGCGCGGCGGTTTTCTGCCCGCCGTGCGCCCCGAGGCGCGCGGCGGTTCATTGCCCGCTGTGCGCCCCGGGGCGCGCGGCGGGCTTCTCCTCTACGTCGCGGCCCCGCCCCGGCCCGTCGCCGCCCGTGCGCCTGCCCGGCTCGGCCTCGCCCTTCGTCGCGGCCCCGCCCCGGCCCGTCGCCGCCCGTGCGCCTGCCCGGCTTGGCCCCGCCCTACCTGTCGCGGTCCCGCCCCTCCGTCGCGGCCCCGCCCCGACCGTCGCGGCCCCGCCCCTCGTCGCGGCCCCGCCCCTGCGTCGCGGCCCCGCCCCTCGAAGCGGCCCCGCCCTACGTCGCGGCCCCGCCCCGGACCCTATGCGGCCCCACCCTACCTTCGCGGCCTCGACCTGTCGCGGCCCCACCCTACGTCGCGGTCCCACCCCGACCGTCGCGGCCCCGCCCCTTGTCGCGGCCCCGCCCTCCCCTCAGGTCCGTGGTGGGCCCCCCCCCTTTCTCCCCTTCCCCCATTTCCCGTCGCCCGTCGCGGCTCCTTCGGGGGCCGCTGTGGGGTGGCGGGTATGGGGGTGGTCGGTGTGCCTTCCTCCCTTTCTCCTCCTCCTCCTTCGTCTCCCACTGCTGCAGCTGTCGCTGAGGGGGGTGGTTGTGTGGGAGACTGGGTTTAGGGTTTAAGGGGGGTGCGTGGGAGTGGAGCTAGCGGTGTAGCAGTGGGTGTGTATGAGGGGGGTGGGACTGTGTGTGGGAGGTTGAACGGAGGTTGCCAGTTTGTCGTCCGCAGCACCTGTAGTCCGGGGCGCTGTCCCGGTAGCCCAGTGAGCTTGTCGCTGAGCCGGTCGCCTGTGGGTCCGTTGCCCGTCTGCCGCTACTTGAGCCGCGGGGCCTGTTACTCCCGTAGTCCGGGGCGCTGTCCCGGTAGCCACTGTGCTCGCCACTCCTGTTGCCCGTGTGTCTGCAGCTTCAGCCGCCGCCTTCTATCTCCTCTCCTCTCACTCTCCCTCCTCCTCCTCACTTGCCCGTTGTGACCACTGCTAGCTTTGCTCATAATTGTTAACTTTGAACTATTTCTTCTTGACCTTGTGCTCAGAATGCGTGGTGACATTGTGATCCACCCTGAGCTTGTACTGTTTTGCCTGCTCTGCTGATTACACCCCACTTTGGCTATGGGGGTGTGTCAGAATATTATCTTATTGTTCTAGCCTGTAGTGGGGTGCTCTATAGCGAGTACAACCCTTCTAGGGTTTGCTATTTGTATCCTCATTCTTGCTAGTTCAATCCTCTTTCTTCCTTCTAACTTTTGACACAAGGAGGGACTTTACCTTCGCGAACTGCTGGAAGAAGCGAAGCTAGCCGAGTTACCCAGCTTCACCGTGTTCTGCGACAACCAGTCAGCAATTCGCATCGCCAACAAGAACGGCTTCGCAAACAGGACGAAACACATCGCCCTGCGCTATTTCTTCGTGAAGGACGAGATCGAAAAGGGGAAACTCGATCTGTCATACTGTCCAACATCTGAGATGGCAGCCGATTACTTGACCAAGAAGCTCGGAAAGCAGAAGTTCGAATACTGCATGATGCTGACTGGACAAGGCCACGTCACCTGCGGCGACACTCCAGAAGCGAAGGGGAGTGTTGGAAACAATAAGTCTTAGTGCGCTTCTGTCGTGTCAAAACCCAAGACACTAGCGAAGCAGTCCGAATCGAAGCATCGAGTCAAACCTCGAAGGTTAGGGTAACCGCCTGGAGGTTACGAGAAAGTCAAAGGTCAGCGACCTTTGACTCGACAATTACAGCGCGACAGTTAAGGACACACAACTGACTCGTTACAGAGCAGTTGCCCGAGTCGCACTGTATCGAATCGCAACAGCAATACAGTTATCTATCTATTCGTATTCCCTGTACTCTTATATAAAACCTTGTATTTGCTTGTTTAAATTAATCTACTTTGCTCTCACACACTAGTGCAAGGTCGGTTCACAAGTTTCATTAAACGCTTCCGCTATTACAAGTTTCTTACCCTGAGTTATCCTCTGCAAAGATCCTTAAGGGCCTTCTCAGCCCAACACTTAGCACTAGCCAACTCTTAAATTATTCATTCATGTTTTGCTTCCCATACCCCTGGCAGGCATCACAGCAGAGAACATCGAGCCCGAGATCAGGCTCTTCACCGTCACCCTCGAGAAGAAGTTCAAGGACCAGAGTTTTCACCAGTCCTTGACCAACATGCTGCGCACGTCCGACTGGCGTGGTGATTATCCCCACATTTTTTCTCTCTGGCGTGCTATCTCTGTCTTGCCTCTCAGCACAGTAGAGTGTGAGAGGGGCTTTTCTAGGCAGAACATTATTAAGACATGGGATAGGTGTGCTCTCAGCAATGTTAGGCTGGCTGAGCTTATGACCGTGAAAATGCTAGACTACCACGTGGACTGGGCAGGTGTGTACCAGATCTTCGACGGGGAGAAGCTCCGCAAGCCTGCCACTTAGATCTTTTTGTTGAGAAAGTAGATAGGTAGATAGGTAGATCTTAGTTCTAAAATAACTATGGTTTCATTAGTTTTAGTTATATAAAGATTGCCCTGATTGTTGTACTGTAGCCCGGAACTTAAGTTTTTGATTAGGTGCTTTCCCGGACGTTTAAGGGGTCGGAAAATGACACTTCCCGGAGATTTCAGGGCTGAAATACGGGCACCTCAGACCCTCAAGTGTTGGCCTGGAACCAATCGACAGCCCTGGTCGCCTCTCCCTCTTATCTCGCAGTCGCCCCTCCCTCCTACCCCACCGTCGCCATTCCCTCCCATCCCGCCGCCACCTCTCACCCTGTCGTCGCCTCTCACTCCCACCCCGTTGTCGCCTCTCCCTCGCTCCCCGCCATCGCCACTATCTCCCACCCCGCCGTCGCCACTCCCTCTTATCCCTCCGCCACTCCCTCTTATCCCGCCGCCACTCCCTCTTATCCCGCCGCTGCCTCTTCTCCAATTCCGCCGCCGCCACTCCCTCCTATCCCGCCGTCGCCTCTCCCTCCTCCCCGCCGTCGCCTCTCCCTCCTCCCCCGTCACCTCTCCGTCCTCCCCGCCGTCGCATCTCCCTCCTCCCGGCCGTCGCCTCTCCTCCTCCCTGCCGTCGCCTCTCCCTCCTCCCCGCCATCGCCTCTCCGTCCTTCCCGCCGTCGCCTCTCCGTCCTCCCCGCCGTCGCCTCTCCCTCCTCCCCGCCGTCGCCTCTCCCTCCCCCCCGCCGTCGCCTCTCCCTCCTCCCCGCCGTCGCCTCTTCCTCCTCCCTGCCGTCGCCTCTCCGTCCTCCCCGCCGTCGCCTTTCCGTCCTCCCCGCCGTCGCCTCTCCCTCCTCCCCGCCGTCGCCTCTCCTCCTCCCCGCCGTCGCCTCTCCCTCCTCCCCGCCGTCGCCTCTCCCTCCCTCTCGCCGTCGCTTCTCCCTCCTCCACGCCATCGCCTCTCCCTCCTCCCTGCCGTCGCCTCTGGCGACAGGTGCACGAGCGCAAGCGCGAGTTGGTGCGCGAGGGCGGGTCGGTGCGCGAGCTCGGGTGGGTGCGTGAGCGCTGTTTGGTGCGCGAGCGCGGGTTGGTGCGCCAGCGAGGGTTGTTTTCTGAGGCATTCTGATTATCAGGTGCGTTCTCAGTCCTTTAATCCTCCCGCCCCCTTCTGAAATTTCCCCTTATATTTTACTTTTCTGCTCGACTCGTAAATTTTGTTAGTCAATTCGTCTCCTCTTGAATTGCACTTCTAGAGGAGTGCGAGGGGGAGCGTGTGCACGGGAGCGCGTGAGAGTGCGCATGCGAGAGCGCGTGCGAGAGCGCGTGAGAGAGTGCGTGATGGAGCACGTAAGAGAGCGCGTGAGAGAGTGCGTGAGATAGCGCTGGAGATAGCGCGTGAGAGAGCGTGAGAGTGCGCGTGAGGGAGCGTGTGAGAGCGCGTGAGAGTGTGTGTGAGAGTGCGTGTGAGAGTGCGCGTGAGAGTGCGCGTGAGAGTGCTCGTGAGAGTGCGAGTGAGAGAGCGCGAGCGCGTGAGAGATCGCGTCAGAGAGCACGTGAGAGTGCACGTGAGAGAGCGCGTGAGGGAGCGCGTGAGAGAGTGCGTGAGAGAGCGCGTGAGGGATCGCGTGAGAGAGTGCGTGAGAGAGCGCGTGAGAGAGCGCGTGAGAGAGCGCGTGAGGGATCGCGTGAGAGTGCGCGTGAGAGAGCGCGTGAGAGAGCGCGTGAGAGAGCGCGTGAGGGAGTGCGTCAGAGAGCGCGTAAGAGAGCGCGTGGGAGTGCGCGTGAGAGAGCGCGTGGGGGTGCGCGAGAAAGAGCGCGTGACAGAGGGAATGCGCAAGAGAGTGCGCGAGAGAGGGCACGTGAGGGAGTGCGTGAGAGCCCGTGAGAGAGCGCGTGAGACAGCGCGTGAGAGAGTGCGTGAGAGAGTGCGTGAGAGAGCACGTGAGAGAGCGCGTGTCAGAGAGCGCGTGAGAGAGTGCGTGAGAGAGCGCGTGAAGGAGCGCGTGAAAGATTGCATCAAAGAGCGCGTGAGAGAGCGCGTGAGAGTGTGCGAGAGAGTGTGTATGAGAGAGCGCGTGAGAGAGAGAATGCGCAAGAGAGTGCGCGAGAGGGAGTGCGACGGAATGCGTGAGAGCCCGTGAGAGAGCGCATGAGAGATTGTGTGAGAGAGCATGTGAGAGAGCGCGTGAGAGTGCGCGTGAGAGTGTGCGTGAGAGAGTGCGTGAGAGGGCGAGTGAGAGTGCGAGCGAGAGAGCGCGTGAGAGAGCGCGGAAGAGAGAGCGCGAGAGAGTGCGTGAGAGAGAGAATGCGCGAGAGAGTGCGCGTGAGGGAGCGCGTGAGAGTGCGCTTGAGAGCACGTGAGAGAGCGTGAGAGAGCGTGTGCGAGAGTGCGTTCAGAGCGCAGGAGAGAGCGCGTGAGAGTGCACGTGAGGGAGCGCGTGAGAGCGTGCGTGAGAGAGCGCGTGAGAGTGCGTGTAAAAGCGCGCGTGAGAGAGCGCATGAGAGAGCGCGTGAGAGAGCGCGTGAGAGAGCGCGTGAGTGAGCGAGTGAGAGCGATTGAGTGTGCGCATGAGAGAGCACGTCAGAGAGTGTCAGAGAGCGTGTGAGAGTTCGCGTGAGAGAGCGCGTGAGAGAGTGTGAGAGGGCGCGTGTGAGAGTTGACTTCTCTGTTTTTGCTTGTGTAGGGCGCGTGTTGACGTCTCTGTTTTTGCTTTGTGCAGGGCGCGTGTGTGCTAACTTCTCTGATTTTGCTTTGTGCAGGGCGTGTGTGTGTTGACTTCTCTGATTTTGCTTTGTGCAGGGCGTGTGTGTGTTGACTTCCCTGATTTTGCTTTGTGCAGGGCGTGTGTATGTTGACTTCCCTGATTTTGCTTTGTGCAGGGCGTGTGTGTGTTGATTCCCCTGATTTTTCTTTGTGCAGGGCGCATGAGTTGAGAAGGGAGATGAGGGAGGGAGTGGGATGGAGATGAGGGAAGGAGGGAGGGAGGGTTGTAGGGAGGGGAACAGGGTCCTCGCTAGTGCCAGAACCCGCCTTGTGCATCAGATATTTGAATTTGTCCTACCTTATAAATCAGACATTTTTTTCAAGGCTACCCTACATTAAACAAATTCGTAGAAACCACTCTACACTAGTCAGTTCAGCTTCTAACTTATATTCTAACTTAGCTACCTAGACTACGAGTCAAGGAAGCACCAACACTTAACTACTGTGTCAGAGTCACTGGTGAGGGTCAGCATTGCACGGACATCCACGCCATCGTCTTCACTATCACTTTCTGGTACCTTATCCCTCTTGCGTCGCTTCCTAATGGCAGGGTATGCCTTCTCAGCTGCCTCTGTCTCTGGTGCCACGTCATCTGCTTCTGTTGCCAGCCCCTTGCGCTTGTTGCCCTTAGCCACACCAGTAACTTCCTTTGCAGGGCGCCGCTGCCTTGCACCACGCCACAGCTTAACTACAGCGTCCCAGTCTGGCTCGTACTGCAGGAGAGAGATGCACATGAGATCAGCAAGCCTGGCGTCGCAGAGGTTGCCACGAAGCCAGGACTTGATGACGTTCTGGCGATTGAAACCACGTTCGCACTCCACTGTGCTGAGCGGTAACACGGCGACGGCCATCCACAAGCGGACGAGGTTCGGGTACGACGTCTCCCAGTCACCACTTCGCAGCATGCTCTTGAGGCCTCCGTGGAAACTCTGATCCTTGTACTGCGCGTGCATCATCCGTGTGAAGCGCGGCAGTTCCCGTTCTGCCTTCTTCCAGCTGACACCTAGCATGCACAATGAAACCAAACAAGCAGTCAGTGCTCGTGAAATGGTCAACGATGTACACATACACATGTACAAATCAACACATCCAGACTTCGGCTGCAATGCATACGCGTACCAGGCAAAGCACAGTTATCGCCGTTGAAGAGCGTGCGAAGGGAGTGGAACCACTCCCCAGTGATGCAATCACGCTTTGCAGCACTGTGTGGATAGGCGTCGGGCAGAAAGAGCTTGGAACCAACCATGGTCGCCAAGCTCTTAAACCGGAACTTGAGGCGGCTAACCACTTCCTTCGCAAACTTGGTGGCAAGCCGCACACACGATTCCAGATCCGGTGGTGACTCCACGCCTGGGATTTCCAGCTCGTGCAACTCGAAGGTGTGAGTGACGGCATTGCCTTCGCTGTCCATCCCCTCCACTGTGACTTCTCGGCGGGAGGGATGCGTGCGTTCTTCCAGGAAAGCAGCAAGACGGTCGCTGTCCTCTGCGAAGTTAACACCGTACTCCACGTAGCGTGCCGTCAGCTTCACGCAGGTGTTCTCCACCATTCCCGCCACTCGAGTGACGTCCACCTGAAACAATCACTAGGAGTAGATGTTAGCACAACCGATTATACGGGTCCAAGAAAGATCGTTGGGCAAGTTGGAAATAAACAGAACTCACCGCGCGCCTCTGAAACTTCCTGTTCAGGTCGTTCAACTCCTTGAGGACGTCTGCAATGAAGAACAAGAAGAAGTGAAACTTCAAACTTGTCACCATGTGATACGTGTCCAGGTCCAGCTCATGCAGTAACACGATCGCCGCAGGAAGGACGGCCACAAAGCGATCGATGGCGTCACCACGCGATAGCCAGCGCATGTCCTTGATACCCTGCATCTCCAGCTGTGTCACGTGCAGAACCTTTTGGAGCTCGAGAAAGCAACTGTGGTGGACTGAGCTGTTCCCGATGAGGCTCGCCATGGAACGTACGACCTTGTCGACGATGTTGAAGTCCTTCACGTTAGTTGCCGCGTCTTTAGCTGCCAGCGCCTCTCTGCACAACAACAGAAAGTACAATGAGGGGTCTACGTGGATTTCCAATGTGGAATGGGACGAGCTTTTCTAAACCCAATAATACTCACCGGTGAGCGACGCAATGTGTTGCGACAAGATGCGGAATGCGCAACCGCAGCTGAACACAGATCCCGTTGTTTCCTCCGGTCATCACATTCGCGCCGTCAATACTGATGCCCGTGATCTTACTAATGTCCAGTCCAGTGCTCTCGATATGTGCCAGCAGAACGGCCAGTAAAGATGACGCGTCGCACTTCTCCACAGTGAGGTGCCCGAAGAATTCGCACTCGACCTTCGCGTCCTTGAGAAAACTGAGGTACACGATCATATGCTTCCCGCGCCGCCTATCGGTAGACTCGTCAAGCTGCATACCCAAGTAGGGAGACTCGATGATGTGTTGCATCTGCAAATCCTTGAGGTGCTTCGACAAGGCCTCTGTCATCTGCCGAAAACCATAGCTGCACGTAAAAAATAAAAAGTATTAGTAATGCAGCAATGGATGCAATCAATCCTAACCCACAATCATGGACTTACTCTGACTGGTAAGTACCGAGCGCCTTGTCCGGGATGTTAGGCGTCTTGAGTAGTTGAAGCAACGACACAAGGCCAACAAACAAAGCGATGGGAACATCCAAATTGCAAATGAATAACGATACTAACAGAAGTTGTTTCAGTCTCGCCACATCACCGGCCTCATCCTCATACTCGTCAATGCCACCTGAGCAACCTTCCCACCTTCCGCGCGCTCCTTCCCGTTGAGGGCGTCCTGGTGCTTATAGGACAAACCATGCTTACGCATGGTTTGCTTCTAGATGTCGATTCCCCCTTGCCCGTTCTTCCCGTACTGCCAGTTTGGAGGCCCGTAACTTGTGCAGATCGTGCATTTCATGCACGGCTGACCGTTCTTGCGCTGCGAAATCACCAGCCACGGGAACCGTCCCTGCCATATGTCGCGGCATTTCGCCCGCAACTCCGACAATACAGCGTCCGGGTCAGGCACAAGCACCGTAGGCGTTGACGGACCCGGGTCACGTCGCGGAACACTTCCTCCAGCAGCAGCAGGTGGCGTGGCCGTCGTTGCCCCCGCACGCGGCCGCGATTGCGTGATGCGGACGTGAGGCACACGTGTACGTGCGAATCGAAGCGTGCTTTGTGTGAAACGCCCCGCCGTTGGGAAACGAGCAAGGCTCGCTGACCTTGCAGCACTGATTGAAGACGTTGCGACCCGTCCGCCATGATTACTCGGCGAAGCATCGACGGGTCGGTCGCTTAGCGGACGGCGCGAATTCGCCATGGGCCACGGCTCGGTACTAGCTGTGGGAGGATTGTCGGGGGGCAACACGGGGGTGGGCAGCTCGGCGGTAGGTAATACGGGCATGGCTGTCGGGGCAGGCCGTCTGAGAAAGTCTAGGCCTGTCTTTTGTTGTGGGGCCATTGAACTGGGAGGAGCACAAAGTCGTGTATCACCAGGATCATTCATGGCGTGAACGCCCTGAGAGTGGATGATGCTGTCAGAACATATAGCTTACTTATTTGTGTAGGCTATAGTGGGGTATCTCATAAGGGGTACAACCCAATTAGGGTTTCCTATTTGTACTCACTTCGTTCATAGTCATTCCATTCTCGTTCTTTCTTTAACATGGAATCAGAGCAGGTTCCCTCCTAGGGACTGCTTCTAGGGCCCACCGAAGCGCGCCCCGAGGCGCGTTTTCCTTTTTTTTAGCGACCCGTTGTGTCGCCCCCAGCGGCCCGTCGCGCCGCCCTTCCCTTAGCGGCCCCGCCGCCCTTCGATCGCGGCTCCGCCGCCCTTCCTTAGCGGCCCCGCCGCCCTCTGCTAAGCGGCCCCGCCGCCCTTCGATCGCGGCCCCGCCGCCCTTCGATCGCGGCCCCGCCGCCCTTCGATCGCGGCCCCGCCGCCCTCTGCTAAGCGGCCCCGCCGCCCTTCGATCCCGGCCCCGCCGCCCTCTGCTAAGCGGCCCCGCCGCCCTTCGATCGCGGCCCCGCCGCCCTCTGCTAAGCGGCCCCGCCGCCCTTCGATCGCGGCCCCGCCGCCCTCTGCTAAGCGACCCCGCCGCCCTCTGCTAAGCGGCCCCGCCGCCTTGCTCACGCGGCCCCGCCGCCCTCTGCTACGCGGCCTCGCCGCCGCGTCGCCCGTGCACCTGCCCGTGCGGCCGCCCGCGAGACGCCTGCGCCGCCCGAGCCGCCCGAGCCGCCCGCGAGACGCCCGCGCCGCCCGAGCAGCCCGAGCCGCCCGCGAGACGCTCGCGCCGCCCGAGCAGCCCGAGCCGCCCGCGAGACGCCCGCGCCGCCCGAGCTGCCCGAGCCGCCCGAGCCGCCCGAGCCGCCCGAGCCGCCCGTGCCGCCCGAGCCGCCCGAGGAGCCGATCTTCTGCTCCTGTGAGGCTCCTACTGCTCCTGGGCCGGCGCAGCTGCTGTGCTGCCGTGTTGCTGTGTCGCTGTGCTACCCGACTCTTCCTGCCCGGTGAGACTGTCAGCTGCTACAATGGCCACCCCTAGTGTCCTGACTTTTGACGCTGAGGGTCGCGCCATTGACTTTGCAGTCTGGATTGAGGACCTGCAGCTGTACTTACTGTGCGATGCGATCGATGAGGTTTCTCTCTTTGACTTTGTCTCTGGCGCTGTCCCTGCCCCTCCTGCTGATGCTGACCCCACTGTTCGCTCCAAGTGGGCCACACGCGATGCTGCTGCACGTCTTGCTGTGCGTCGCCACCTCCCTTCCTCCGAGCGTGCACACTTTAGTCAGTGCAAGACCGCTCAGGCCTTGTACGACGCTGTAGTTGCGCGCTACTCCTCCCCTTCCACTGCTACACTGAGCCGCCTCATGCTACCGTACCTCTTCCCTGACCTTGCTGCCTTTTCCACAGTCACTGACCTCTTTACCCACCTTCACGCTAGTGACACTCGCTACCGAGCTGCGCTTCTTGCTGCCTTCCTCGCCGAAAACCCCCCTCCCATGTACATCACCCTCTACTTTCTAGTCACCCGTCTCCCTGAGTCCCTTCGTGCTGTTAGGGACCAGTTTCTCTCTGTCTGTCCCACCACCCTCACTGTCGACCTCCTTGAGAAGTCCCTGCTAGCGGCCGAGAAGAGCATAGTCGCTGTAGGGGCCTCTCGTGGTGACCCGCGCACCCCCATCTTTGAGGGGTGTTCTCCTTCCCCCCTGCTACCCTCTGTCGCCTCTGCTGCTGCGGCCGACCTCGTTGGTTTAGAGTCGGTCGGTGCGGCGTCTGCCCCCAGCGGTAGGCGCCGCTCTGGCAGGAGCAAGGGGGGCAAGGGAGCGGGTGGAGCTAGCGGGGGCGGTGGCGGAGGAGGTGGAGGCGGCGGGGGGAGTGGGGGTGGCGGTGGGGGTGGAGGCGGGGGTGGAGGTCCTGGTGGCGGCGGTGGAGGCGGAGGTGGCGGCGGAGGTGGTGGCGGAGGAGGCAGTGGGAGCGGCGGGGGCGAGGGTGGCGGTGGCGGCGGTGGCGGCGGAGGCGGGGGTGGCGGTGGTGGAGGTGGTCGGAGTGGCTCGTCCCAGAGGAGCGGCACTGGGGGTGGTCAGCGCCAGCACCAGCAGCAGCAGCAGCAGCGCTCTCGCGACGTCCCCGCCCCTTAGCAGCTCCGTGAGTGGTACTCGCAGCGTCAGCGTGGTGGGGCGTTCGGTCCCTGCACCTACGTCCTTCGCACCGGCGACCGCGCGGGTGAGCAGTGTGGGGGCACCCACACCGCTCGCCGCTGCTTTGCCCGCCTGACCGACGCTTGGCGCCAGCAGTTTCCGGAGGCCTCTGAGATCCCCCGCTGGGGAGAGCTGTCTAGGGCTGGTGTAGCTGTGTTTGATCTTGACTTTGATGCTATCCTTGCTGCCATGTATGCTGTGACTGTTAGTGATGATGGTGACTGTTACCGGTGCTTTCCGCCCGACCCGGGCATTGGTACTGCTGTGTCAGGTGCCAGTGAGGCTGCTGCTCTAGGTGCCAGTGCGTCTGTGCTCTCAGGTGCTAGTGAGTCTGCCCTCTCAGGTACTGTGTCGGCTTCTGCCTCCCACACCTTCACCCTTGACTCTGGGGCGTCTCGCTCCTTCTTTCGGGACCGCACCACTCTCACGCCGCTTAGTCGGCCGGCTGCGGTGTCCCTGGCTGACCCCTCTGGGGGTCCTGTCCTGTCTCGTTCTCCACAGTCCTCCCGTGTCCGGCGGCTCCCTCTGGCACCCTGACTGGTCTTTACCTCCCCTCGTTCTCTACGAACCTGGTGAGTGGTGCTGACCTACAGGATGTGGGGGTCCACCAGTTCACTCCTGCTCGTCAGCGGGTGACACACTGCACAGAGGCTAGCACAGGTCGCCACCTAGCTACGTTTAGACGTCAGCCAGGGTCGAGCCTGTACACACTGACCACTGCTTCTCCTCCCGGTGCTGAGTCTGGTAGAGTCCCTTCGTCTGGTCAGGTGTTTGCTGCAGCGTCCAGGTCTGGTCCTGAGTCTGCCCCCTGTTCGTGTCGCCG